AAAGATGGTTAAAAAAGTTTTTGAGAATAAATGGTATAAAAAATATTTGTTGGGTTTAATTTTTATGGTCAAAAGTCAATAAAAGATGGAGATAAGATATGATACGTTGAAATCTTTAAGGATTTTTTATACCGCTTGAAAGACAAACGGAAAGATGGTCTACCGTAAAATAATATGATGAATTAGGGTTTTATACGAAATTTTCCCTTTAAAAAATGGGACGTAAGGGGATGCCTCGACATAACATTATCTGTAAGTATTGTCTCTTCATTGATCAAATTGATGTCACAACATAGGATTTATATATAAAGAATTGCATGTACATGCAACATACAATTAATATTAATAGTTGCTAAATCTGTAAAATACAGTTGTGATAAAATTTTAGTGTACAGCACAATGCAATAGTCAATTATACTTGCCCTTGTAGGTTACTACAGTTGTTCATGCATCCCGCCCTCAATTCCCACGATATATATATATATATATATATATATATATAATATAATATGAATGAAATATAAGTGCCAAATTTTGCTTCTGACAGGGACTAGAGTTTGAAATTGCAGGCTTTCTCATTGATATCACTTTAACTGCAACACATTCTACCATTTAAAACGTTGTGTGGGGCCATTGTTTGGTGAAATCCATTGATCTTGATTGATGCATGTAACCTTGAGCCATAACCAGTGTTACTTCAACCGTAGTTAATCTTCAATCGAAGGTGATGAACGGTGCAGATCCACTTTCCCTCCATCTTGTGTGTGAAAGCTTGTTCTCAAAATTCAATGGGAATTTATGGAGAAGATTTTCCTTTTAGGATCCATTTTGGCTCATTGACGTCATGTGGCTCAAAATTAATTTGGCCCTTCTCATGGAAAATATCATCAACACATTTTATAACTTTTATTTTCACATTTTTTAAAAAAATAATGATCTTACGAGACTACATTTATATATGTAGGACTTCAAATGATCACCATTAAATTGGTACATATATCTAGAAAAGTCAAGCTCCATACCCATATGATAACTTTTCTAAAGATATGTGTTAAATTTAATGGTTATACTTTGAGGTCCTATACACATGGGTATAGGAAGGTTTCATAAGATCATTACTTTTTAAAAAATTAACACACTTTTCAAACTTTTATGGATAATTGTTGAGTTATAAGAAGTGTTGCTCAAAGCATTTGAGTTTTTAGAAATTTATGCTAATGTTCCCTAAATATGCATTATTCTAGAGTTTTCTCCAAATATCAGTATTTTGTGTTTGCACTGTTTTTTTTTTTTTGAAAATACTCCCCCACATCGGACCTTGAATGTCCGGAGTCACAATAACTTAGAATCAAAGTCATTAGAACTTTTAAACTCGAACTTTGGACCTTTAGATTTTGAAGTGAAACTTAGATCTTGCTTTATCTTGGAGTTTTATTTTTTATTTTTCACAAAATTTTATTTCTAAATTGCCCTGTTGAGTCGTAACAAGTCTTTCTTTTTGTGAAAAACTGTTTGGAACATTAGACTTTCGAACCAATCTTTCTCTCAAAACATTTGTCATGTCCAAATAAAACCACTTATCTTTTCTCTTTTAGTGAAAGATGTCGAAATCAAGATTGTAATTCTTTGATGTGGGAGGCAGGTTTGGACATTTCTAATCCTAATCCACTCTTATTTTCATTTGTAAGTGGGAGATAGGTTTCGTAATCCACTTTAAAATTAGGAGATACATTCGACACTTATTATACTTATTACCGTCAGTGTCAATGTGGTTCAAGGACCTTCAATGCTTATTATTTCATGAAAATAACTGCACTTTTTAAGCGATGAATTGCGTCCTATATTGGTCACGTGGTCATTAACCAGATTTCATGGGCAGTACCACATACCGACCGAACCCGACTAGATTGACTATACGAAGGTATTATAGGAAATCTGGAAATTTATTACGTGAGTCCGATGGCGCACAACCATCAAACGTCTAGATCTACAAGATGGAGATGTGCACCAACAAGAGCTAAGTGTGTAAAAACATTTAAAAAAACTACTGTGAGATTGTAAAATTTACCTTTTTTTTTTTTAAGGACGCGGTTTCTGTGAGTCGGCTCACTCACCTATTTAAATGAGTCACATTTTCAAAATCTGTTTTAGAGATGGATGTGGCTTCTATGAGTGCATGTAGAAATAAATCACCTCTTAAAAATCTATTTTTGAGATGGATTTTTGGACCTAAGTTACAAGGATATGTAATATCTAGCATGGCGAATATGAAAAAATAAATAAATTTTGAAAATTAGAAATAAAAACTCTATTAAGAAAACATTTGGACTGTTACTTTAAATTTTTTTTTGGATGGACCAACTATTTGCATCCATGTTAAGATGGATGCGTTATACTTCAAGGACTGCAAATGTAGAAATGCGATCCCCGCCACATGAAACAGTTTTCTTTTAGAGATAGATTTTGGATTCAACTTTATAGGGAATGAAAATCTCCACCATGATAAGTAGAAACATGGAAAAAAAAATAGATATTAAAAATAACAATAATTTTTTTTGACATAGTTTCAATACTACCATTTTTTTTATATAAGGACGAGGCCCTAAACAATAAAATTAAAGCACAACTCAAAAATTCACTACAAGAGATGGTTTTGATGCTAAAAAATCCTCAAATCTATCGTCTCTACCTCAAGTTGTATGAATATAAAAAAAAAATCATTTCAAGTCTTGAAAATACATCTTGTAATACATTTTCTAGACCGTCAATTTTCAAAATTATCAAGTATTCATAGATCTACTCGTTCTATACTATTTTGTAAGCTTTAATCTTTATAAATAGACGTAAAATATTTTTTTAGGCCATCATAAAGATTTCCAATACTGAAATTACATATTTTGATTCTAATTGATTTTTTAGGGCCATAGCCTTATACAAACCGCACCCTTTTTAATATTCATCTCCAAAATGGATGTGGCATGCATTAGTGGATGCTATTGTAGAAGTGTATCCCCTGTACACAAACTACTTTTCTTTTTTCATATTCATAATTATAATTGTGGATCCCAAATACTGTCCATCCAAAATCCATCTTTAATATGGAATTTAGAGGGGGAAGTAGATGAACATATGAGTCACATACTCATGGAAAACCAGCCCATTATTATAATAATGAAAATTGTTGTATGTGTCGGGGGTCCTACATTTGTGTCTCAGAGGCATAAAACATACATCTTAAAGATCGATGATAATGTGCGGCCCCTCCAAATAAAAAGTTAAAATCAATGGTCTATATATTTTATTTGTAAAATTATTATCGGTTTTAAAATTTAGTTTTTTGTATATGAAAAAAGTTTATATAAGTTAAAATATATAAATAGATATGCACCTCAAAAATCAATCGAAAAAGGTTGTGTTAATATTGAAAAGGGTTTTCTTATGCTACACCACTTTATCGTGTATACCTTTAAAGTTCTCAACATTTTTTGACACTTAGATACCATTGATTTATAATACCAATTTTTATAGCAAGGGGATTTTTGTCATTTGGGGGGGGAGGGGGGGGGGGGGGGGGGTAAAATAGATATTTATATAAGAAGTTAATGGCATTCTATTAGTGGTTAAAAATAATTAATGTTGTATGTAGATGACATCACTCATCATGTAAGTGATGTCAGTTAATAAATACTTTTATTTTTATTAAAAATTTTATTTTACTCTTGACTAATTACTTAAAATACCTATTGACAAAAAAGTTACTATAGTATAAAATAAGGGTATATAAATGTCCAAAAATAAAATAAAATATTGAGTCCTAGAAACAATGCATATTGCAATACATAATCTAGACCGTTCATTTTCAAGATTTTCATGTGTATAGATCTACTTGACTTTAACATGGAGATCATGTATATGTAAAGTGTGTGGTTTCTATAAGGTTGCAACCTTAAACAATCCAATTAATGTGTGCCTCCAAATTTTATCATAACATGTAATTTGGGGTAAAAAATTATTAGGATTATTTGAGCATATATTTTGATATCTAATTATAAAATTTTAAACTCAGAAAATGGTTAAAAAGGTGTGGTTTGTATAGAGCCGAGGCTCTAAACAATCAAATTAGAGCCCACCGTCAAATAGTATCGAGAATAGTCGTTTCAATGTTGGAAATATTTGTGATAGCCTTAAAATATATTATTAATTTTAATTATAAGATTTAAAGCTTTAATAATAGCGTAGAACGAGCAGATCTATGCAACTCAAAAAACTTGAAATTGACAGTAAAAAAATGCGTTACAAGATGTATTATTTCCAAAACTTGAAATCCATTTTTCTCTCATGTTCATGCATCTTGACGTCAAGATGATCAATTTGAGGATATTTGGGCATCAAAACAACTTATTCTAGTGAAATTTTTGAGCTAGGCTCTCATTTGATTGTTTAGAGCCTCGGCTCTATATAAACTTTTCCTATTATATATTCCTTAAAAATTAGATCTAAAATCAATACCAATATTTTAAGAGGGGAATTATTTGTAGGGAAAATTACAAAAAACCCCTCGAGTATGCTATTTATGCAACTTATCCCCCAGTTAACCTTTTCTCTCAATTTTTTCCCACAACCACATTTCCTGTGGTTGAATAGGTCACTCCAGCAATGAAGACAAGCGCTCCGACAGTACAAAGATGCGCTCCAGTAGTACACCTTCTGGAGCCATATCGCTCCGTTGGTTGAATTGGTCGTTCTGGCAATACGCTATTTGAGATCACCAATTGATTTTTTTTTTGTACGGAAAGGACATTTCCATTAAAAAAATAACAATTTTTTACTTTATTGGGAGGAAAGGTGGTTATGGGAAAAAAAGTAAGAAAATGTTAGCCGGGGTAAGCTGCATAGTATACTTGGGGGCTTTTTTGTAATTTTCCCGTACAAGTGGGTCTGGGACACATAGAAACCTTGTCTTGATATATTACGCTGAGAATAGTCGCGCAAAGCTTCAAGCGAAGCTTTGCATTTTGGGCATCTACGAGTTTTTGAGCTTCCTAATCCAAATGTTTGCACCTGCACTCCTCCACACTTCTCAAATACACTCTCCCTTCTCTCTCTTCCCCGGTCTATCAAGCTTTCTTTCTCCTCTCTCTCTCTTTCCCAACCCATCAAAGCAAAAGGTAAAATTGGGGCCAATTCTCATAGACCCAACGGTCTTCTGCAACAACCCCACCATTTCCCAATCCACTGTAGAAGAACTCATTTCTCACACTGGTTATGAAGACTACCCATATGCTTGGTCTAGTGGGTACAATTGTGCAGACCCCAGTTTACTACTTCCCAATAATCTTGCCTATATGCTTCAATCATGTGTGGATTCTAGAGAAGGGAAACTAATTCACTCTCTGATACTGAAACACATAAGAAAACCGGTTGTTTTCATTGATAACAATCTCATTAACATGTATATGAAGTTTGGTGAATTCGAAATAGCTCAGAAAGTGTTTGATAGGATGCCCGAAAGAAACATTGTATCATGGACTTCTCTTCTTAATGGGTACTTGAAAATTGGGTTTCATTATGAGGCTATATGCTTATTCTGTGATTTAGCCAGAGAAAATGTTCGACCCAACAGCCACACTTATGTATGTCTCTTGAATTTGTGTGGGAAAAAGCTCCATTTCAAACTTGGTTTGCAGATTCATGCTTGTATATTAAAAGGAAATTTATGTAATTTAATTGTAGATAGTGCATTGGTGTATTTCTATTCTCAGTGTGGGGATTTAATGGGAGCTTTCCAAGTTTTTGATAGAATGCCCCAAAAAGATTCAATTTCTTGGACCACCATGATAAGTGCTTACACTAATCAAGGTTATGGGAAGGATGCATTGTATGTATTTTCTCAGATGCAATTATTTGGGTTTCGACCCAATGAGTTCACTATTTCATGTGCTCTGAAGGCTTGTGGACAAGAGGAGGCACTGAATAATGGGAAACAGCTCCATGCTTATATAATTAAGAGAGTTTTCAAGGATGATGTCTTTGTAGGGAGCTCCCTTGTATACATGTATTCAAAATGTGGTCGAGTTTCAGAGGCTAGACATGTATTCAATGGAATGCCAAGGAGGAATACTGTTACTTGGACTTCAATGGTGGCTGGTTATGCTCAAAATGGTTTTGGCAAGGAGGCTATAAGCTTATTTCGAAAGATGAGGAGCCGGAGAGTGATTGCTAATGATCTCACTGTAGTATGCATTCTAAGTGCATGTGGGTTAGTTGAGTCATTAGATAACGGGAAAGAGATTCATGGGCAAATCCTAAAGAAATTTAGAGAAAGAAATATATACATAGATAGCACCTTAGTTTGGTTTTATTGCAGATGTGGGGAATATGAATATGCTTCAAAGGTGCTAAAAGACATGCCTTTTAGGGATGTAGTGTCATGGACTTCAATTATATCAGGGTGTGCTCTTCTTGGGTATGGCTCAGAAGCTCTGAAGTTTCTTAATGATATGTTATGGGAAGGAATTGAGCCTAACCAGTTCACTTTTTCATCAGCCATTAAAGCTTGTGCTAAGCTCCAAGCATTGAGACATGGTAAAAAACTCCATGCTTATGCAAATAAGACCCATGCTTTATCAAATGTCTATGTAGGGAGTGCACTCATAGGCATGTATGCCAAATGCGGATCCATGGTTGATGCACGTAGGATTTTTGACATGATGGAGGAGAGGAATGTTGTTTCTTGGAAAGTCATGATGATGGGATATGCTAGAAATGGGCTATTCAAGGAAGCCATGAAGCTTTTGTATAGAATGAAAGAAGAGGGAGTAGAAGTGGATGAATTTGTCATGACCACTGTTCTTAATGCTTGTGGGGAAGCTCAAAGTGAAAGGGAAAGTGTACCTTCATAAGATATTCGTGAGAAAGTCTATACTGTGTAGTGTACATGGCATGCAGCTGGGGCATCTGCAGACCATTCTATCATATCAATGTGGAAATCTACAGTATCAATATACGGCTATGCATGGTATGGTTCCCAATCTCTTATAATATAAGTGTATCCATTCTTCAAAATGGTGTTGATGATATTTTGCTGGATGGTGGCTCCAAAAAGTTCAGCTGAGAGGATCAGCGTGCCATATGGATGCGATTTCAGGCATCAGAAGTTTCTCTTGTTAGTGAAGATTTATTATACTCATATTCAAACATTTCGATGAGAGAAAGCTTTATTTAATTATTTGTGAGATTGATCTAAAGTCAAGTTACCGATCGAAAGAAGATTTATTTGATTTCTACAGAGGAAAAATATATGACCCTTTGGTCTTTTGATCCCTGCAAAGGTATATATGTTTTATTTTTTCTTCTAATTGCTCTTCATTTCGTTTTTCTTAGCATAGTCTACTCTTTGTCGTCTCTTTTTATTGTGTGTGTTAAAAAATATTACTCTTTTCTGGTGGTTTAACCTGGAATGGGGCCATCATCATATTGGTCTATTAAGATTCACCTAGTGTGTCAAATGGATCTTGCTATTCACGGATGGTATTTTCATCTCCATGATCAAATTCTCAGGTAATTCTGATGCTTTGTATGCATATCGTGCTACAGTTATTTTTGATAAAATTAAAAGCATGTGTACCAGTTTTTAATTTAGTTGATTCTGTTGCACTTTTCTTTGTAATTCAACTTCCACTGATGTAATTTTTCCTTGTTGAAGTTGAAAACATTCTTTATGACATGAAAATGAGGTTTGTAACCTACTTGTACCTCCCTATCCAATGCTAACTTAAATGTCTTGCAAATCTTGTGCTTTTAAGACATCATCACAGCTTGATTACACTAGAAACTACCTTCTAATTGTCTTAAGTGATGGCTTTGTGTGCTGAACTAGAAATTTTTTCCTCTGTTGTAATTTACAACTTCCACTGTTGTAATTTTTCCTAGTTGAAGTTGAAAACATTATTTATGACAAGAACATGAGGTTTGTAACCTACTTGTACCTCCCTATCCGACGCTAACTTAAATGTCTTGAAAATCTTGTGCTTTTAAGACATCATCACAGCTTGATTACACTAGAAACTACCTTCTAATTGTCTTAAGTGATGGCTTTGTGTGCTGAACTAGAAAATATTGGCCATTTATTTTCTCAAACTAATCGCAAACGAGTTTTTCTTTTCTCTTAGCATCCCTTTAATTGTTTTTTCTTAATGTAAATACAATCCAAAACAAATAGAGATTCATCCAAGTTTATTAAATTTTCTCTCCCTAAAACCACGAGATAGACTCCAACAAATAAAGGAAAAGGATTGAAAATCCGCTCTTTTCAACTTTTGTTTTTTTGTTTTTTTTAGATTGTGAACTGGGTCTCATCAACCTTCAAAAAATGATGTACAAGAATAATGTCATTACAAACTTGAGTCCATGTAAATGTAGATTTTAGATTTTGATCCTTTGGTCATTAAACAAAGTAACTATCCAGGCGGGTTTGAAGAGTCCCTCTTTCTTTTCAATGTCAAAACCTAATTCATTCTAATTTAGTTTGAGGATGACTTCTTAGAAAGTAAACAAGACTCACATCTTCTCTCTCTCTCTTTCCCCCCCTCCCCGTGGCGGGTTTGAAGAGTCCCTCTTTCTTTTCAATGGCAAAACCTAATTCATTCTAATTTAGTCTTGAGGATGACTTCTTAGAAAGTAAACAAGATTCACATCCTCTCTCTCTCTCTCTCTCTCTCTCTCCTCCCTCCCCGACCCCGAACGAACGTACGTAACCGTACCTCTACTCGTACCTACTAACCGTAACGTAACGTACTAACCTTACTACT